TCCCAATAGTTGATTTTGATGATGATTCAAGTCAACAACATTCAAGACGCAAGCAATCCCAATATATGATTTGATAAATATTCTATTCAACATTCAAGCAAGCCCAAGATTATTCTTGAAGACTAGATAGAGTCTTAGAATACTGGATATGGAGGTACAAGTTGATGAAGTAGTATTATGCATAAGCCTCCAAAGCACAAGTGTGATAAAAATTCGTAACATGACATTTTTCACTGTCATAATTGATTATGATGCATCAGAATTGAGAAATTAATTTTTACCCCGACATAATCAATTATGTTGAGGAGACAATCGATTATGCTGAAGAGATAATCAATTATGGCAGTTCGAAATTCAAAAATATACTTGTTTTGAAAAATAAATATTTTTGAATATATCCTGATCTTTATCCACGAAAATATTAATATCCAACGACCATTTTCTAATGTTATTTTTCTATTTAATTAAGTTTTGATGGAAAATCAAAAACACAATTACAGAATTCGAAAATACAATTTACATTCAATCAATTTTGAGAAAAGAATTTTGAGCAAGGCAACAAAGATACTTTTACATGTTTTGAGAAAACCCTCTTCTCCATTACCACAGAGATATTTTACCAAAACTCTCTTCTCTACTGCCATTTGTGCTTTCATTGTTAATCACACTTGTTTTTGGAGGTTGGCATTTTACAGGCTTCTACAATTTGTTGTCTCCATTACCCAGGTGGGACTGTTCTTATTTTATTACCTTCATCCTTTGTGAGCTTAAGTGGTTGATTGTTAAATTCTTTGTTTAGGGTTTAAGTAGTCACTGTCATTCTATTGTGTTTTTTTTTTCTTGTGTAGAAACTGTTCATCCCTTTGATTTGTCCTGGGAGGTGTTTTCATCCTTTTATTTATTCAGAGGAAGTGTTTATCCCTAGTGGGATTCTAGAGATGTGTTCATCCTTAGTGGGATTCTAAGGAGGTGTGTTCATCCTTTGATTTGTTTAGAGGGGGTGTTCATACTTAGTGGGTTTCTAAGGAGATGATTGTCTTTTGGTTTAGTTTACCTTTTGCTGAGTTGATTGTAATTTGTGAACTGAATTAAAAAGATAATGAATTGGGGTCACTCTTGTGTTAAGAGTTGACTGGAAACTGGATGTAGGGTTGATTATACCCGAACCAATATAAATCACTGTGTGATCTTCTCTTTCCCTTATCTCTTTTTCACTGCATTACTCTCCTTACACCCACTATTTTTATCTCTATCTTGTCGATATTTTATCTCTCTGATTATATTGTTTTCGCTTTATCTTTGTTCAGTTTGATAATTAAAATTGAATTAATAAATATTGGACATCTTAAAATAAATTTTTAATTTGGCATCTATTTTAATTTGTGCATCTATTCACCCCCCCTCTAGATTCCATTTGTCTAACACATAAGAATTAATTGATATTCCAAGTAATCAAAGGCCAATTGAAGTAAAATGGGTGTACGAAGTTAAAACTAGACGGAACAATTGCAAGATATAAAGTCAAACTTATGGCGAAAGACTTTCTATAGAGAGAAGGTTTAGACTATAAAGAAGTGTATACACTCGTTGTCAGGATGGAAACAATAAGAATATTTGTAGCTCTCGCTAACTATAAAAGGTGGCAAATGAATGAGATGTATGTAAAATCTACATTTGTGAATGGTGAATTAGAAGAAGAAGTTTATGTTACACAACCACCAGAGTTTGTGATTACTAGAGAAGAACAAAAGATTCTTAGATTTAAGAAGGTGTTGTATGGCTTGAAACAGACCCCAAGAGCCCGGAACACAAATATCGATAATTGTCTTCGACAATAAGGATTCTTAGAGTGTGAATCCGAATATGAGATTTACTTGAAGTTCGAAGGAGATGATGTGTTAATTGTTTGTTTATTATCGATGATTTGTTTATTATAGACATTAAAATTACTTTGATCAATAATTTTAAAAGAAGGATGCAAGATCAGTTTGAGATGACCAATCTATGAAAGCTGCCATATTTTCTAGGAATGAAATTCATCGAAGGCAAAAAAGGTATTTTGATTCACCAAAGTAAATATGTTAAAAAAATGCTTAAGAATTTTAGTATGAGTGAGTGTAATGCGACGATTATTCTAATTGAGATAAATTTGAAGCTTGACAAAAATAAAGATGAGAAGTATGTAAATACTATTGTTTAGAGACAAATGGTTGACTGGTTAAGATACTTGTATTGTAATAGATCAGATATCTACTTTAGTGTTGGATTGTTAGGTAGATTTATGGAGAAACCCAAAGCATCTCATCTTACAACAGCTAAGAGAGTTTTGATGTATATTAAAGGGACGATTGATTTTGGTATTCTATTACCAAATGCTACACATCATAATGTAGAAGAGTTGGTTGAATATTATGATTCTAACTAGGCTGAAGATAACGTTAGTTTCAAAAGCACATCGGGTTATGTATTACTATTAGGAAAATCATTGATTTCATGGTGTTCAGAGTTACAACCTGTTGTGACACTCTCCCCTTGTGAAGTTGAATGCATGGTTGTTTCTTATATAACTTGTTAATCACTGTAGATCGAGAGTTTGATCAATTGAGTCCTTAGAATATCAGAGAACATTATGGCACTGAAGATTGACAATAAGTCAACCACAAATTTAGCGAAAATTCCAATTCATCATGGGAGAAATAAACATATTGAATTGAGATTTTACTTATTAGAGATGAAACAAGAAAGAAGAATATGAGGTTTGAACAATGTAGCACGAAACAGCAGCTAACGAATATTATGACAAAATCTTTAAATAATTGAAGGTTCGAAGAATTGAGAAAAAAAAAATTGAATATTAAATTGATTGTTGAATTAAGGGGTGCGTTAAATAATAATTCAGCAATAATATTCTAATGATTGTTTCAATTAGGTTAATTACCCTAGCAAACTTTCGTGACTATTATTAATATTACGTTTCTATAGTATTTCAATAATGTTATTATATAATTCAATTCTTATATTAAATACAATTTTTTTTCTTAATTCTCTTGATAAAGGTACTATATATTATTATTGACAAGGATAAGTAAAAATGAAATTCTTATAAATGAAAAAATTGTCTTATTAATAAAAAGTATTATGTATTATTATTGACAAGATAAGTAAAAATTAAATTCTTATAAATGAAAAAATTGTCTTATTAATATATTTTAGATGATGTTTAAAAAGATTAAGAAAAGTATATAATAATGAGAATAAGTGAGAATTGATTATCTATGTTTAAATTAAGAACAAATATGTCTGGCATATGCAACTGGGTACTACGAGTCTATAATGAAAAGATGGTGTTGTGTTAGTCAACGTTTGAAAACATGTTTTGTGGGCAACAAACTATGTTCTTAAAGTGAGAAATGAAAAAATGAAAAATCACGTCAGTGATTCATTTTGAATACACTCATTAAGTACCACAAAAAACTACGCTTTAGAAAAGTATATTCAAGAACGACGTACGCGTTTGGATAATCCATGCATGCACCTCTTCCAAAAATACGTTGAGTATAAAAGATACTAAGAGTATATTTAAAAATACTTTTGAATAGGTATCAGTATTAGTTATTTTCTTATACCTCAAACGATTCATTCACCTTTAAACAATATTTTCATAGCTATTACCACTGATTGAAAAATATAAAGATAAAACTACTTTTAACCATGTATATATTCTTACCTGTCTATAATATTTTCATTAAAAAAAAAAGGACAATGGAAAATTGCATTCAATAATTTCAGTTAGATAACTCTGTTTTTTTTAATTGGTACAGTTAATATGATATTATGAAACCAATGAGTGTGTTACCAGGGTCTATTTGTTTGTCATATTTTGACAAAGTGTCGTGACACAGACTGCATTTGGCGATTAAAGATAAGGCTTGGATGGCCAGTACAATTATGTTGGGACAACTATGAAATGCATTTTCATAATTAATTGTTGTACTGGGTTGGTTCTAACCATTTGACTTAAAAAGAATTGCATGTTTAAATAGATTTACAAAAATATGATTTTTTTTTTCTCTTTGAGAAAAACCAAACCAGCGTGAGGACCATCGTTAGCACCAACATCACACTTTCATTTGTCAATTGACCTATTTGGTGTCTCTTGGTGGCTATTTTTGTCCCTCTCACTCTCAACTACAATTTCCACCTCAGAATACCATTTTTTGGGGCTTTGTTGTTATGCTCAGCAATTTGGTTTCAACCAAGAATGTTAAGTTCTAGAGAAGAATAACCACCGTTCATCTTATAATGCTTTGGCCCAACTCAGAAGCAGAGAATTCATTCCCTTTCTATTAGATCAACACTTTGTGATTCCTTTTCTTTTTCCCTGGCTTTCTCATTAAAAAGACTTGTTCATCAAGCATTTGCTACTTCAACATACGGGTCAACTTTCTCCTTTTCTTTATTTATCATCACAAATGGATATAATAATCACATAACACTAATTGAAGGTTGTATTCAGTCTTTTTCTAAAGCAAACATTAAAGGGGTCCTTCTTTGCCATAGGTTTAAAGGCAAGTTCAAGTTCAATTCCCCACATCCCTATATATATAGTCGTACGTTATGCAAGAACTGTATAACATTTTCATCCTAATATTTGAGAAAAAAAAAAAAAAACTGAATTAACTGAAAGGTACTCTGCACTTTGTTTGGCCATAATGTACACATGTTTTGATGTGTCATGACTCATTAGCACTAACTTTGTCTTCATCAATGAATACACTTTAAACATAAACATATGGTGCTAATTAACAATTGCCTTTGTGGGACTGTTTGGTATTACATCCCACACAGTGGGAATCTTTGGCCTTTAAGCAACCTTTGCTCCAAGCAATTCTGAAACTCTTCTCTTCCTTCCCTTTTCCCAAATCTTCCCTTCAAAACTTAAAAACTTCATCTTCTTCCCCTCTGTTCAGTTGTGTCCTTTTTTCTTGAGCACCAAAAATATGCCACAGAGAATGGCAGTCACACATGCTGACCTTGAACCAAGCAGAAGTAGAACAGATTTGAGTAGCAAAACTGGGGCCTTCCTTATGGTTCTCACAATACTAATAGGCCTTTTCTGCTTCATTCTATGTCTCATAGCAGAAGCCACACGTTCTGAGGTACAAGTTTGATATGTTTGCAGATTACAATTCTACCAATTGCCCCCTGGGGGAATGAACTTCTCATGAAGTTTAATGTATAATCTGGTGGATGATGTGATATGATATGTGGCAGGTGACATGGATGGACACAGGTGGAAAAGAAAATGGAACCAAATCAGAATGTGTTTATAGTGGTAGTGGAAAAGTGCCATTGCTATGTGCTGCTTCTGCTTTTGTTGGACTTGCATTTGCCATGGTCATGCAACACACTTACATGTTGATAGCAGTGAGTAAAACATCACCTTCTTTGCTTACCTGGGACCCTGATTCTCCCTCTGCCAAGTCCCTAACATGGCAGGCAGCGTTTTTCTTCGTTACAACTTGGTAAGAGAAAGACAATTTTGTTCTTATGTTCCTTATTATCACAAAAAATATACCTCCTTTTCGTGTTTTCCATTAAATTTCATAAACCTTATCCAAATTAGAACTGAAAGGTTTTGCTAGTGCTAACTGGACCATCGATGTGCATTGAGGATTCACACAAAACAACAATTTTGAGTAGGGGCAGTGGACCAGATTGATTTGAAATTAGATAGAAATAATTGAGATGGAGTAGAAGTAGAAGGTGCTAATAAAAACTCGGGGGAAGATAGAGTCAAACGAAAAGGAGGGAAAGAGAGAGATGTGAATACATCAAAGAGAAGAACAAACATAGGTTGATTGCATGGTCCCTTCATTGATCAATTATTTTAAATCTTAATTTCATACATTCTTATCTTTTAGTTGACAAACTTCAGCCTATATTATTACGGAAGGAGCATTATCTTTATACCTAACTATCCTTAACTTTAATTAATCAAAACCTAATTCAATATGGATTCCTGCATATGTTAATTAACCTTTCTCTAACAATAATGGATATCTCTATATGTTCTAGAGCTTAACGTCTGTCCACATTTATACTATCTACTGATGAAAGAAAAATCATTTTTAGTATAATTTCTAATGTAATTATTATAAAAGTTACCTAATTGATTGTATATAATAATTTATGACTAAGTAGAAGTGTAAAAATTCAGAACTTCTACTCTTCCTGTATTGATTCCAGTTAATATCTGAGTAATTCAGAACCAAGATATTTCCTCTTTTAGCAATAAACTAAAGCACTAGTAGAAACATGTGAATTAAACTGGTTGTATGTTTCAGGATTTGTTTTGGAGTTGCGGAAATTTTGTTGTTGGCAGCACTTAGTGTAGAGTCAGGTCATCTGAAGAATTGGTCGAAGCCAAAAACAGTTTGCTACAGCATCAGAGAAGGGTTCTTCTCTGCTGCAGGGGTGTTGGCTTTAACAACAGTTTTCTTGGCTGCTGGTTTATACCTAATAGCACTACGTGCACAAAAAATGGCAGAGGAAGTAGCAAGTGTTCGAAGAGAGGTTCTAGAAGCCTCTGCCTTGTATGCTTCTCCACCAAGATCACCCCAACCACAGTATATGTCAACCGTTGCCAGAGAGAACCCCACAAACAGAGAGAACCAGAATGAGCTTCTATTATCTGTGTTTCCAACTCCATTTGTCAAAAGTTACGAGTTTGTATAAATCTTGATAAAGGGCACGGGGAAAGTGGAGTGTTGATTTAGTTTCACACAACGAAAAGGTTGAAATTCATTTGATTGTGTAAATAACTTCAGAAAATGATTCGCTTTTCTAGGTCTACCTATAACTTCGGTCTAAATTGCCATTGTTATTGGCTGAGTAATTGAAGAACAAAAACTTATTTTTTTCTCATTAATTTACATAATTATTGAAGCAAAATTTTAATTTGGATTAAAACAAGTATAAAATTTAAAGACACCGTAAAGACTTCAGCTAGGTTTTATATTCTAATAGAAAGTCTTATTATCGTGTAAAATAATTTTATTCACTTCTTAATTGTTATTTGATTAACTTAAATAGTTTGTTAGTGTTTGTGTGAGATTTAAATCCTCTCTTGTCTTTTTTTTTCCTATTCTATAAATTCAGTTTATTTATTTTTCATAAAAGCGGCTAGTTTTTTTAAAATATTAAAAAAAAAAAAAGATTGAGTCAACCACTTGCAATTTTTCGAGTCAAAGATTAAATAAAGCTTGATGTTAGCGTGTTCTACGATTCGTACTCAACACCAGAATTCAAGCTTCAAGACTATATTTATTTGTTTCGGTGATTAAATATAAAAAAGTATATGGTTTAAATTGGATATTTAATCTTAAGTATTTATCAATCTATTTAAATAATATATATACAAAAAAATATTGCTGAATTGGATATTCTTGGAATACCCATCCAATTTCATGGAAACATGGTTATGATTGAAGTGAGGGCCCATCTCGCCCGACGAACTGTAACCCGTTCGCATGATATCGGTACGATCCATTAAAAAATGAAACCCTATCAATATTACTGACGACCAACGGGCCCTGATCCGACCCGAAACACTATATCCGAGACCCAAATCCAAATCCACAACCACCACTACACGCAACCCCACACCCCACTCCATACACACCCCCACCGCTATTTAAATTTCCTCAGAATATCGCAGAATCCATGTCCCTCTAATTCTCAATCCATACCTAGGGTTTTTCCTCCATTTTCAATTCCGATTCCTTGGATCTTAGATTGTTGTCGGAGTTAGGGTTATTGTTGTTGCCCCGAAGATGTCGTTGAGGCCAAATGCTAGAACCGAGGTCCGTCGCAACCGTTACAAGGTGGCGGTGGACGCCGATGAGGGTCGGAGGAGGAGGGAGGATAACATGGTGGAGATCCGTAAGAGTAAGCGTGAAGAGAGCCTCCAGAAGAAGCGCCGTGAAGGCCTTCAAGCTCAGCAACAGTTCCCCACTCCTCTTCAAACCAACTCCATTGTCGAGAAGAAGGTACTTGCTGTTATTGGCATCGCATAGCAGCGAATTAGAATTCCATAGTGATCTCTGAAATTTCAGATTCCTATGCTTTGAAATCGTGTGGTTGTTATTTTATTTGTATGAGTGGGTTGGGGCTTAGTTGGTTAGTTATGAAAACGGTTATGACGGTTGCTTTTGTCTGTTTGTTGTTGGCGCAGTTAGAGAGCCTTCCTGCGATGGTTGCTGGAGTATGGTCAGAAGATAACAACCAGCAATTGGAAGCAACCACGCAGTTTCGAAAACTGCTTTCAATTGGTAACTGTGGATTGATTCTGTATGATGTTATTGTATTGGGGCTCTGGTTATGTTTGTTAACTTTGAATTTGTTTTTGTGTGGTTTATGATATTGTGTAGAGCGCAGCCCTCCTATTGAGGAAGTTATTCAAGCTGGAGTTGTGCCTCGATTTGTGGAATTTCTTGTTAGGGAGGATTTCCCTCAACTTCAGGTTTTGTTTTATTCCCTGCATTGGAAGTTTTTGTGTGGTGGTGTAGTTTGGATACATTTTTTTTTTATTGTTGATTGGTTGCTTGTGTAATTTGTTTGTTTGGTTAGTTTGAGGCCGCATGGGCTCTCACAAACATAGCATCTGGAACTTCTGAGAATACCAAGGTGGTGATTGATCATGGGGCAGTTCCCATATTTGTCAAGCTGCTTAGTTCGCCCAGTGATGATGTTCGGGAGCAGGTACGTTGATTCAAGAATGTAGTAGTGCTGGCATTTCCTTTTTGGAGTTTTGACCTAGCTTGCGGAATACTAAAACTCTGAAATTCCAGGCAGTGTGGGCGTTGGGAAATGTTGCTGGTGACTCCCCCAGGTGCCGTGATCTTGTTCTTGGCCATGGGGCCTTAACCCCTCTGTTGGCCCAGTTGAACGAGCATGCAAAACTTTCAATGTTGAGAAATGCAACATGGACCCTGTCAAACTTCTGCAGGGGCAAACCACAGCCTCCATTTGAGCAGGTAAATTGTCTTTTTGTGGAATTGAAATCAAAGCTGCAAGAAAATCTGTTTTGGCATATAATCATGAATTTTTGTGGGCAGGTCAGAGCAGCACTTCCAGCTCTAGAGCGATTGGTATTTTCCAATGATGAAGAGGTCTTAACAGACGCTTGCTGGGCGCTATCATATCTTTCGGATGGAACAAATGACAAAATTCAAGCTGTTATTGAGGCTGGTGTATGTAGCAGACTGGTGCAGCTCCTTATGTGAGTATTAAATCTACTAAACCCGGTCCACCATTGCTATATTTTTCAATTGTTTATTATCTAGGCACTAAACTTGTCTGCTTGGTTTAAAGGCACCCATCCCCTTCAGTGCTGATTCCTGCACTTCGCACAGTGGGAAATATTGTAACAGGAGATGATATTCAGACTCAGGTAATGACTTGTAAACGGACATTAATAATCATTTGTGAAGTAATAGAAGTTGGTGTTTCATAAGTAATCTTGGAAAATTAAAATATTTAAATAACTTGACCCCAAATTGTTGATCGGTTAATTATGCATGTTGAATATGCTTTGAGAAATCTTGAAAACTTAAATTTAAATATTAAAATAACTTCACCCAAAATTATTGATAGGCTCATTTCTCTAGTCTAATATGATGAAGTAACTCATGCTATTGCTATAATATGAGCGTAATGGAACTGTGCAACTCAGCAAAATTTTAGTCTTCATAACTTTGTTGGTGAATTTGTGTTGGCTGGCATGGGTGGAATGTTGCAGATGGTGGTTCTTGTTTGGTTTTTTAATACAATTCAATCTCCTTTGAGGGCTTGGGGAGAATAGTTTTGGAAGAGTGAAGAATTTATACAAAGATATTCGCTGCATACACCATCCACTATCCACTGATGAATTTAATTTGCTTGTCTCTCTTAGCTTTTTGCTCTTTGACTTGCACTGTGATACCACCACTACTCACCATGAATCTAGGTTTTGCTTCCCCAATCTATCATTAGTGAGGATTTCCTGATTTTGGTGTGACTCTTTTCATCAGACTATCATTAATCATGGGGCACTCCCATGCCTTTTGAGCCTATTGGCACATAATCATAAGAAAAGCATCAAGAAAGAAGCATGCTGGACCATATCGAACATTACAGCTGGAAACAGAGAACAGATACAGGTAAACCAGTATATCCCAATTATTTTTTATTTGATGTAAATCCTTATACATACATATACATACATATATATATATATACATATACATACATATATATACACATATATATATATATATATATATATATATGTATGTGTGTGTGTATTTTAAACTTTAATTCTTTATGTTTTTCTTTAGCTTGATGTTTGTTATCTCCTTGCATATTAAATTGCATCTGTCAAAAGTTTCAAGTCTCTTCAACCATTTGGGTAGGATAAAGGATAAATTCGATTGGATAAAGTAGTTCATTAGTTTATGTTGTCCATTAAAAATTTAATCCATTCATGACCCTTTTAATTAAATCTATCCATATTTTAAGAACAATATATTTTTAATATTTTCTCCCCTCCCTCTCATCTATTTCTGCCAAATCCAGCAGCAGCGCTGAAAATAAATGAAAGAGTGGTCTATTTGTAGAAGAAAGGTGAGTAAGGAAAATGTGGTAAAACTATATGTGAGGGTATTTTCACAGAAGACAACCTGAGAAACATGATGAAGAAAATAATATGGATCTGAGACAAAAGGTTGTATTGTCACACAAGAAAAAAAGAGAAAAGAGTTAGTTACAATAAAATGCGTGATCATGATAGAATAAAATGCTGTTGTACTGATTGAGTGTGTTGGTTGTGTGAGATTCTGCTGTGTTCATGAAATAATGGAATCTCAACAAGTGAAAGCTAACCGAATAATTAGTAAATAAAAAACATAATTAAGAGAACCAAGTCTTGAGAACAACAAATGACATGATATCTTATTATTAAAAGACATGAGATAGTTGTGCAACTGAATGGTATTTGTTGAAAGTCCCACATCGCCTACCTCATGTTATTTGGTATGGTTTAAATACATGTTAGGCTACTTCACATATTGCCAATTGGTTTTATGTTGGAACCTTAACATGGTATCAGAGACAAAACATAACATCTTTCCGGTTATTGTTATGGGTCAAAAGTACCCTTTGCCTGGTCCGGCAGGTTTCGTTGGAGGGGGCGTGTTGAAAGTCCCACATCGCCTATCTCGTGTCATTTGGTATGATTTAAATACATGTTAGGCTACTCCACATATTGTCAATTGGTTTTATGTTGAAACCTTAACAGTATTGAAGTCTTTCAATTCAACTCTGAAATAATAAAACACATTATCATTAAAGAACAATCAAGGCAAAAGTGTTTTTTCTTTAATATTTGACTGCTCTATGTATATGAATTTCCAATGCAGAACCTAAGCATCTCAAAACAACATACTTATGTGCTCAACTACCTTTTGATAAGCTTTTCTATTTTCTACTTTATGAAGTTGTAATTGAGATTAATTAAAGCAAAGCAAAAATGACTAAGGGAAACACACTGCTGGTAAATCACTTATATCTTCATGTAGCAGGGCGTCGGCTCAAGGCATATACTCTATTTGGGATCTTGAAAATGTTCTATTTGCATTTGTTATGGATTTAGTATAGAATTTTTAGTTGGCTTGTTTCATTTCAAGAAGTGGTTTGACTTTATACAGTTTATATGTGATGTAGGCTGTTATTGAAGCTGGTCTGATTGCCCCCCTTGTCAATCTTCTTCAAAATGCCGAGTTTGACATTAAAAAGGAAGCGGCTTGGGCAATCTCAAACGCCACATCTGGTGGTACCCATGAGCAGATCAAGTATGAATTTTATTTTTTATTTGTTTTTTGATTCTGCTTTATAATATAATTACAAGTTGGTAATTATTGGAAGTTATTTATTGACTATCATATGTGGTTGTAAGGTATTTGGTGAGCCAGGGTTGCATTAAACCTCTCTGCGATCTGCTTATTTGCCCCGACCCAAGAATTGTCACGGTGTGTTTAGAAGGTCTTGAGAACATTCTGAAGGTTGGGGAAGCTGAGAAGAGCTTGGGTAACACTGGAGATGTCAACTTGTATGCTCAGATGATAGATGATGCAGAAGGATTGGAGAGAATTGAAAACCTGCAGAGTCATGACAACAACGAAATATATGAAAAGGCAGTTAAGATTCTTGAAACTTACTGGTTGGAAGACGAAGATGACACACTACCTACAGGCGATGGTGCTCAACCTGGTTTTAATTTTGGAAATGAGCTTCCAGTCCCATCTGGTGGATTCAACTTTAGTTGAAGACTTTTGTTTGGGTAAAACGTGCGTGCATTGTCTCAATATTATTTTTTCTGTAGGGTCGTTAATCAGAATTTCTCTTCATTTTTTAATATAAATTTCACAATTCTCTAAACCAAATTGGTTTGAATAATTGTAGGAACCGGGTTGGAAGGAGCAGGGTTGATGCTAGGGTAACTGTTGGAGTCGAGTCTGGGGTGGGGTTGGGGGGTGAGTTCGGTCAGTTTGGTCCCTTGCACTTGATGGTGTCTGGTTTAAGTCTGGTCTTGTGTCCGTGGTTAATGAAGTGCAAGGGTGGGTCAGTTTAACTACCATGTCCAAATAAGAAGGGTGGTGGTGGGTTCAACAGCAACATAATGACCTTGTTAGCAGCTTATGTTGTGTTAAAATATATATATATATAGATATAGATATGCTGTGGCATAACTATTGGAAGGTTCTTTGTTGCAGTAGCAGGGACCGCATGGTGTGGCAGTGGATGGGTTTTCTTGAATACGGCTTTTGAGTCCTATTTTTTATTGAGTCGTAGTTGTATTGTTAATTTATTTATACAGAGTCAGTATTTGATTTGAGTGAATACAGTGTTCAGAAACCAATTTTATGGTTGTATTCTAATGAAAGAATTAGCATATTTTTGTGATTGCATTTATCCTTTGGGCTGCTTTATTCTGAAGCCTTTTTTATCTAATATAATTCACATTAGGGGAAGAATGAATAATGCCAATAAGCAGCAGTAGAGCTTTCTGACCAGGAGACTTGCAATGTGTTTGTCCAATGGGAAAGAATGTATATCAAGTTCGGTCAGTTTGTCAGATTATGTTACAACAATTTGTAAAATATTTTTTCCAAAATATGTCTTTTTTGCTTATAAGTCTACTTGATTTCTTGATAAAGATGCATTCAATAACTGTTTAGTTAGACTTATTTGGTTGTTGAGAATTCTATAATGACATACAAAATTTTCTACCAAAAGGATCTAATGCTTAACATTTAGTTTTTCATGTGATCTGTTCGAAATCAGATTACTCATGCATTTAGTGAGATCTAATAATGAATTGAGTTTCCGAATGACTTTTATATGTTTCTACTCAATTTTCATATAGTATCGACTTGCTATAAAATCAATAAAATTCAGAAGATCAAAACCTTGGTTATAAAAAATTATAATATATCCAACATTCATCAAGCTGTTGCAACCTTTCAGACGGGGCAACTAAACCCTTCATTCCACTAAAAAATGATTGATTAGTTATATATATAATAGTTAGAGCAGGGAACGGAAATTTACTTTCATGTTGTCATAAATTTAATACTATTACAGACATACCCTATAAATGGTAATTATATTTAAAACATTACTTTTTATTTTACTATTATGATATTGATTTTAACAAGTTAGTTTTCTCAATCAATGAATATGTCATCGTGTTAATAGCTCAATTTATTATAGTTTACTACTGTTATCAATCATAAAAATAAATAAATTCACATGTAACCGATTGTGTTAAATTTTACTATCTTTCTAGCATATCTTTATAATTAATATCATAAAAAATACATATGATAATGATAAATCCTAATGTGTCATATTAATTAGAAATACAGTATTTTAATTAGAATTTACTTATATTTTAGAAAACAGGTATTTTTTTCACTTATAAGTGAAAACAGTAAAAGTAGTGCTTAAAATGTGGAATAAATTTGATTTTGGTTCTTATCAAATTAAGAAAAAAATGTTTTTTTAGTTTTTTTTTTCTAAATTTAATCCTTTAATATTAAATTGGAAATTTTAAAACTATTTTGAAAAATTTATTAGATTAAAATAATATTTATTTTCCTGAAATTATAAAGATTAAAAATATAATTAAGTAAAACCAACAATTAATTTAAAATAATATGATGTTTTTTTATAATTAAAAAAGTTACTCTCTTCTTTCTAAAATAAAAAAACAGAAGTTAGTATTATGTGTTAATAACTGATCATTCCTGTTACATGTCCACATATTCTAATATTCAAGATTAAAAATCAATGTCCCGTAAAATATATTCATATTTGGAAGAGATTAAGGTCTTGATGGACCATTTGAAATGTGAAGATTGATCATATTCTTTAAAAATTTAATTAAGTCCGTAAAAAAATTAGTGGAATATGGTTTAGAAGATAAATCTTTTGTTTTTACAGTCGCGTTAATATTTTGTGTTGAGGTTTAATATGAAGTTTATTTAAACTTTAAAAATATATAATATTATTACCACATTTATTACTGTGTCCAGAAATAATATCTATCAAGGAAATTACTAATGGTGTGTTTCTTTATTATTATTTTAATAATATATCCTCTAAACGGGTCATTTTTATGTCATTTGCATGAATTAGCATACAAATATTAACATAAATAAAAGAAAGAAATTAATAAAAAAAAATGGATGAATAGTAACACCAAAATGGATAAAGGATTAATAACATGTTTCTTTTTTAAATATTTAAAAGAGTATTTATGTATAATAGAAAATGAATAATAAATAGGACTTTAAGTTGATAGCAAAAATAAGACAGCATTTCCCACAATTTTGATCTAGAATATATTTGTATCCATTGATTTAATAAATAATTATCATGAACAAATTAATCTTTTAATTTTTGAAATGTGTTTTTCATTCTTTTGTTTTTTTTTTAAAGAATAAGAAGGAAAAGAGATATATTAGATGGTTTTTCTGAAAAGTAATCAAGTAAAAATATTAACTAATTACTTGGATAAAATAATTATTTTCAAAGTAACATAGATAGAGAATAATTAGAAAAAAAAATGAAAAAGAGAAAAAAGAAGAAATATTTAAAAAAAAATTGGATTCATAGAATAAAAGAATTATTGGCTTATGATTTGGATGAACAAAGAGTAACTTTTAAATCTATTATAACAACATATTAATTTGTGAAGGATATAACTTCTCACCTATTTCATTATAATTTGAAAGAAAAGTATCTCACTAAAAAAATAATATTATATATAAAAAAATACTAAAAGATAGTATAACAGTAAGATAAATGTTACCAATGATTTCTGTAACTCACTTTTTAATATATTTTTATTGCTGAAAATTGATTGAAGTCTCAATTTTTATACCGAGGGAGTGGCTAACTTTGATTGTAACGAGGGGTATATGGAGGATAACGCTTATCTAGTGTCGGAAGGTGAAGAAAATTAGTGACATGAAGACAGGGAAGCCACGACTGAAACCCCATCTCTTATTATAAATTTTATGTCAAAATAATTTAAAAAATAGAGAAAATTATTTAAAATTAAAAAATAATTACTCATATAAATAATTATAATCAAATTTTAAAAAAAAATCAAAATTTATAATTAAATATTTAATTTTATTTTTAAACGATAAGACAACCTAACCTATCCATGATTTGGTGTTCTTAATCATCAATTTATAATTTTTTTTTCTTATTCAATCCTCGTCGTATTTTAATATTAAAATCAGATTATATTTAAAATGTTTATGCGCTTCCGTAGCTTTAACATACCTCTCTTCATACATTATAATCGTTTCACAAAATTCATGAGCTATAAGAGCCAAATAATACAATTTTCTTTTTTCTCAATCAAAACATTATTATTAACATACTCATGTGTGCAAAAATTGAAGTTTAAATCTAACATACGTCGCAATAGAAAATAAATAGATTTAAATCTACATGAAGAATATGTTGAATATTAAGGATTTAATAAATTTTTCATCATATTATTTTTTATTTTTATCTTTCTGTATTTTAGTGTAAGTTTAATTCTGTTTTCTTAAAGGACATTAATTTATTTCTTATATCAAATAAATTAAGTTGTCTAAAAAATATATAAAATTAATATATATATATATATATATATATATATATATATATATTTATGAATGTGACATAATTGACATAATATATGTAAATATCACGTGAAATTTTAATATTAAATGGTGACTCATTATCAAAATTTCATTTTCAATAACAATCAAATGAAATTACAAAAATAAATAATGAAATGAAAAAATATAACTCATTAAATTATACAACAATATATATATATATATATATATATATATATATATATATATATTAAATGAAGAAGAAAGTTAAAATATATTAAACAGTTTAACTTAAATTTAATCATTAAAAAATGAATAATAATCATAAAAACCCTTTTTTGTTGAAAATGAAAGAATTTTAAATTATATTAAAATGATAGAAATTTATTATATATATATATATATATATAATATTAATAATAATAAATGGAAGTGTGTGAACAGAGGAGGAGACCACGGTTTGGATTTGGACGTGAGCGTGAATAGTGGCAACTGTAAGACGCAACACAACCAACCCCACTTCACATCATCATAAAAATCTTAAATAATAATTAAATAATTAAATATTGCCTTCCAGCTAGTTCCTCCCTTTTTTTTTATGAAAATATATTCTCTCCTTCTTTCTAAGTAAAATCATCTCTCTTGTTCCATTTGCAGTAACAGTGGGGAAATATAAACTTATATTAACACACTTAAATAGAAGAATCCCGAACCCAAATGGAATGTAAAGTATTAATATTGTTAGAACTGACAATAAAACTTTCTTTCTGGTGCAAGTTTGAAGATAAAGCTTACATAAAATCACAGAGGAAAATGAGTGTGGAACATTGTTAGTTTTACCAATAATGTAGTACAGTGTTCTCTTTGTTAGTTTAATGTTATTTTTCCTCCTTCAAAAAAATAACATTGTTCGTTACACTCGTGAAAAATGCTAATCGGGGAACCAACAAAGTCCCAATGTAGCATAAGTTTACTTACACCAAAATATGAACTGTAAATATAGTGTTGGTCAACCATTATCAGAAACTCGACTGATCCAGCAAAGAATCATTGGTGTCACAAAATTGTGGTGCCACTTTCATTTTAAGGACGCAATGATTATCTTACTCGAGCATATTGTGAGACAATGGAACTTGGTAAGCATGTGATCTCTTATCACCAACCTCATCTACCAACAAATCATCTATTTCTTCACATCAATTACAAACATATATCGTTCAAGATAATAATATATTAACAAACTTTTCATATGTTTTAAATTCAATCAGTGTCAACAAAATTTATTTGATTGATTAACCATCACCTCATGCTCATACAACACAAAACTATCCATCACAAAGTAACAAATTGGAAACGAATACAACCTTCTTTAATTTATAATTTCCTCGTACTAATCAAAATCAAAAGGTTAAATACAGTTACAATTTCTCAACAAATTGCAGATCAACCTCCGTTACATCATAAGAAGTGACATCAAGAAATTGAAACAAGTTCATGCTATTTTCCCATGGGCAAAATGGGAAATAAGCACACTGTCTTTGCACTCACCTCACTTTCACTTTCCCAAGATCTGCTATTTTCTGCACTTATTCCCACAATTTTCCCTTTCTCTGCTTTTTTTTTTTTTTTTTCATTTCTTTCTACCAAAGCAACGCAATTAGAAAAGGTAACAACGAGATTGCAGAGACCAACGAGCTTTGCGCCGGGGGATGAGCCGCCGTGGACGGCGGCGGCGGGGTGTGGTAGTAAAACGGAAAATAAGGGACAATTGGGTTCGGTGGAGGCGGCGTTGGGTAGTACTTATTCGGCGGCGAGTAATACACGCCGCCACCGGTGGATGCTGGTGGTGGTGGAGAGGAGTAGGTGTACTGAGAGGGGGGCGGCGGAGAGGAGTAATAGTAAGGGCCGCTTCCGCCGGAGCTTGGAGGAGACGGCGGCGGAGGGCAGTAGGTGGTGGTGGGAGCTGGCGGCGGCGGAGAGGGTGGCGGCGGCGAGGGAACCTGGCCGCAGGGGGTGCATTTGATGTCATCCTTTGACGAATTTTGAAGATTGTGATCTGCCATTGTCGTTGAAAGAGCAGTGAGAGAGAGAATGATCATGAAACAGCACCACACTCTGGTTCCCATCCTCTGAGGATCCGAGGAATGAGGTTGTTAATTGCTTAGGAAAGAAGGATGAGAGAGGGAAAAGAAAAGTGAAGGGAAGGGTGTTGCTTTGCTATTTGAGGTGTAGTGTGTGCTGTTCTGCTGTGGCTAGAGCAGTGTACTCTTCTTTTCAGCTTGTATTAGGCCTTTTTATTGATGCACCCCTAGTTTTTGTATTTTAAATAAAATAATATAAAAAAAAAAAAGTGAAAAAAGGGGATAATATCGGAAGACAGAAAATAAAAAAATTTAATGGTGGTCACCGACACGTTTTTACTTTAACATAAAGCAGCCATGTTTGAAGTTTGAACACGGTTAAGAAATAAGAAACGAATGTGGAGAGATTAATTTAATTGTGAAACACAGTATGGTAGAGAAGTACTTTGTTTCACTTTTTTTAACGTTTCTACTTTACCATTTTGAGTGTTGGGTTTCACTTTAGCGAGTGAGTCCGTTTTGATTTAGGTTTAAGTTAGGATGAGTGGGCTAGTGTGTCTCACTCTGACACTAACATAGTGTGTTATTTTGGTAAAGAAAGTCAAATTAGGTTAAAATATGGTGTGCATGTAATAGATATAGGATGGGTAAACAGTGAGAAAATGATGATGACGAAGATGGATGGTCCTAAAGTGGAGACGTAAAGGAAACGCAAGAGGTTATCGAGAGATGCAAAATGGGAAACTAGTTGGACTTGGGTTCATCTCATTGTTTATTTCATGCGTTGGATCTGTGCTATTCAAATTGCTCCTTATGTCCCTTTGTGCCTATGCATCTTCTTTATTGCAATGTTCATGATTTCTTTCATGAAGAATATGATAAGAACTATTCATCATTTCTTGTCATTTTCCCCGCCCGCCACACAGACACACACATGTACACCTCTGGGGGCATCAAATCAAATTTATTTTAAATTCGTACAACCAGTAATATGGTAAATATATATGCCACACAGTTACGTTGTACTTTTCGACCATGTCTATTTTATTTCCTTTGGAAAAGCTTTTGTCTTTCTATTATCAAATACAAAAGTGAAAAGAATCACTTTTCAATTGTTCGTAGAACTTTTGTTTCAATTCATTTAGCCAACGTGATCCAAAGGCAACAAACTCGGTTAATTGAACACCAGTTCGTGTTCATTTGTCATTGATTACCAAAGATCCATGGCCACATGTGAATGGGTTGAAAGTCAAAATAAAGCAGAAGGAAGCATTTTCAAAGAACAATCCAACGATATATTAAGAAGATTTTAAAACCTACAACAAAATCACGAATCCCAAAGTTTGGTTGCCTGTGGTAAAATTATGAAGCCTTTGTCAACGTGAAACGGTGTTGGAAAGGGAAATTTCCACCACAAATGGCCGTCCGTGGTACCTTTCCAGCCTGGTTGGCCTTAAATAAATAACCCATAAAGTTGCTCATTCCTCCTCACCCATAGGCTCCACCACTCAACAATCATTTTCTTCTTCATCCAGGCAACCAAAGTTCTTTACTTTTTATCTGCTAACTCGAAAATGTTGTCAATTTTTTAAAATCTCTAAATTATGTGTCGCAAAAAGAAGAAAAAAAGCACTCATAATTTGATTGAACTGATAAATTGATCTACATATATCTCATACCAATTGCGCAAAATGAGTTATTTATTCCACTGCTTAACATTATCCTGTTCGTAGCTTAGCATTATTGAAGGAAAAGTTAGGTGATTGTTCTGTCATAAGATAATGAACATTGTGTTGTATATTATGTATGATGCGTATATCTTCCATTGCGCTCGCTCTAGAAGGATCCAACTGGACCTAAATTTGTCAAATATGCTCATAAGATTAGGGGTATAACTTAGAAGGGTACGTTGTTAAATTGTGTTAATTACTCACTCTAACAATCATCTTCACAGAGTATAACAACAACGTAGTTGACAGAGAGAGTGAAGATGACGACAAAGAATTCAATGCGATTACTATTTGTAGAGATATCAAATCCTTTATAAAACAAATAATGCTCATGCCTGAGAATCCACTCCTGATCTAATAATAATTGAAGGGAGGTTGTGTTACTTTGAGGGTTAACGAAGGAGTGTTACAGCTAGAAAATCTCCTAAATTACAGGACTAGTTATGGATTCATTTTGATGGTCCCCACATAAACACTTTCTTACCATTAGCTTGTATTATATATTCATTTTTCTCTGAATGTATTAAATAGATCTCCATCTTTCTTTGTATCATTCTCACAGTTCACACCTTTCTATCTCCTTAATCTTAGCCAGCATGGACAAGCAATGCATTATTCACACTTTCAATTGCTTTTATGCTTTTTCAATGGCTGTTCTTGTCCAAGGAAATTTTTACACTTTCTGAGATATTCTAATCATAATGTATACTTGTTTTTACTTTCCAAGGTTTCATTTTTCACCTACTTTTGATAGCAGGAAAACGCTCTCAACTACTGAGAATATCAACTGCGAACAAAACTGGTGGAGAAGTTTGGTTTCCATTCTTTTTGAAAATATAAACATGCAATATGCTTTTACCCAGCAACGTTTTACTATGAAAAGTTCCATCAAAATGTTCATCTTGTCTGAACCTAGGATTGATCTTCCAATCATTTTAACTTGGCCTTTTCACATTAACTTAATCATTAGCTAACTTACAAATTAACTTGAGTGTCTAATTATGCTTATTAAGAAAATAATTTTGTACTTTTTGTTGTCTTTTTTACAGAAACTTATTGCTTTTACGAAATCGAACGAGTGAGTGAGTAATGAACTCTAATCGATACCTAGAGAAATAAAGTTGAACAAATGGATCTATCATTTTCATTTAGTAAATGCAATCTGAAAAGTTCTTCCAGGTGTTCATTCATCAAGAATCATATATATATTGATAAACTCGTGATGATTATTTTCATTGTATGAGAGAAAGATCATGATTTGATTTCAGACTTTGTGTGAAGTTACGGTGGATCGATGTTTACCTCAAATATCTATGTCATTTTATACCAATAACCAGAAAAAGAGAGAGAGAGAGAGAGAGAGAGAGAGAGAGAGAGAGAGAAGCGTTTTCATCAATAAATATGTCAAGAAAATGTGCTCAATGATTGCTAAATAACATGAATTTGGAAAAACACGTGAGGGGATGGGTCACGAGCACTGGCCCAATTGGTCCTTCATAAACCAAATCAGCCCAATTAAGTTTCTAACTAAATTATTCTTCGTGGGTCCCTCGTATAATGTTTGTATAACTTTTTTTATACATATATAATGTTTATGTTTAGATATAATTTAGGTTTGCTTCTTTAGAAAAAATAATCTACTTTTATCATAGAAAATTGTAATTTTTCTTTAAACATTTCTCATCATATAGTTTCCAATTATTTAAAACAAAGAAATATTTTAGCAAAGATTAAAAAGCAACGAAGAGAGTAAAATTGAGGATCAATATCAAATAACTCAATGTTAAAAAAAAAAAACTAAAATTAAATTTTATATTGTATAGAAAATTGAAAATATTTATAGAATACACATTAATGACCTGCTATTAAAGGTATGTGTGAAAGAGTAGTGGATGAATTGAAGCTGGTCCATATTTGAAAGTTGACAATATAGGGATTGAAGTTGAAGCATGTGCAGATACTGATTTATAGAGTTTAATACGCTGACAAGCTCCAACAACTTAAATAGTTATATTTAGTAACTTTCACACGTTTTAAAAATGCACATTAATATCTACACAATAATGTAATGCTGTTATAATTTAATTTATAAGAATTTAAAGTCAAAATAATTTAATAATATTTTCAAACCAAAATTGAATATCAGAAAGTATAATTAAATACTTATGAAATCTTAAAGAAATGTTGCATTGGGTAACTTAATTTAATATAATATTTAAAATTTAATTAATATTTATTAAGTAAAATGTAACATGCATAGGAAAAAGAACAATAGCACCAAAATAAGTTATTTTTGGATAAATGACATTATATTTAAAAGTATCAGAAACTATTAGAAGAAACACATGAGAGCATATGGACTATAAGTGTCAAAGGAGGCATGTAGGTGGTTTGCACAGTCTCTCTGACTTTCTTTTTCTCTCTTATCATTCTTCTCATTTCTGTTCATTTCATGGTTTATTTCTCTCAATTAGGTTGAATTCTTTTGTGATTCCAGCATGTGTTCATGATATTAAATGTTGATATTAAAAGAGATGTATGGCCCTGTCACCATGTTCTTTGTTAAGTGTTGTTTAGTTGGCAAAACTATATGAAGACAAATATTGTACTCCGCCAAAACAATCCTTCACTAAATCTTTTGTTTCAACTTATTATGCAAAAGTTGCATCTCAGTTATTGTGGCAACCTTCATTACCCACTCCAAGCGACCCTCCAATCAGAAATCCCAATACTGAGATGTAATTGAGAAGAGAAAAGGGTTTTTATTACTTTTGTGATGAAAAGTGTTCTAATAGACAGTATTTGTTTCTTCAGTTGGATGAAGATGATACAACCAAATCAGAGGCTCTAGAAGAGGTGGTAATGGGGGATGTTAACACTATTTCTATGGAAGATCACCACCATCCTATCTTTGAATGCTTTGAAAGATGGGATGAGTGTGGGAACTATTAGGTTCTTAGCATATATTGATAAACTTCTTGTTCAGGTATTGATTGATGGGGTAGCTTAGATAACCTTTTTCAACCAAGGATTGCCAAATTTTTAAAATTACTAGTGGAGTCTGCTCCTATTCAGAGTGATGATTGGTAATGACATAACAGTTGAAGGAAGAATCCATGAACATAATGTGCAAGCCCAAGGACATTCATTTGTGTTACCTGTCTTCTTATTACCTATCTCTTATGTGGATTTGATTTTGAGAGCCAGTTGGTTGAAAACCATTGGGCCCCACATTGCAATTATATATTATCAGTAGAGGTATATGCATTTTACAATCATAACTTTTCATAATTGTTATTATTATTATAACACATTAAGTAGTAAGACGTTCACCCTAATTTAGAAGGTTTAGAAACATGTACATTCCACCACACAAAGAAACTAATAGCTAATAACCCATAAAGTGGGCCATATATAGCTTTTATATGGGCCATACGATAGTTTGGGCCATACGATAGTTTGGGCCATATTAGCTTATCTCCTAGACATTTTCTTTTGGGCTTTGTTATTCTTTTGGGCTTTGGGCCATAGTAGCTTTTAAAGACTACACAAGTTATTATTATAACGGTAATCAAATTAATTATAATAAAAACTATCTTTTTAGTAGTAACTAAGTTAATTAGGATCCACAACAGAAAGCAGCGAATTTTCGGAGCGTGTGTTGGTAAGTTGGAAATGAAATGGGAACGCAACAAATACCTTTTCTCCTTCTTCACTTGGTCACCCTTGAAGAATCTGTAAACAACAAACACTTCCTAAAAAAAAGGTTTTTATGGCGTAAAATTATTAATTGGTCTATGATAATTACTAGTTTATGATTTTGATGAATATTAAATTCCAAATACCAACCTACTCTCAAATACCGTTTCAACTTAGTAAGCCATTCGGCCAAACCATCCCTGTCCTTGACTATGTCCATATCCAAACATACAGGACACAATGCCATCACCAAACAAAAATGGTCAAAACTAAAATCTGCCACCATGGGACCAAAACACATGGTCTCTTGGTCGTGCCACTAAAAACCTAATTAACAATCCAACACTATATAACAAAACTTTGATAAAGCAACTACACACAACACGCTGTGCTCCTTGAATCACTCAACTCAAAGACCATAACAACCTTAAACATTAATATTCGTATATTCATATACCATAACCAACACCAACACAGGCCTACCTACCATTTTTTTCTTATCATTCACTTTCTTCACAATTCTTAGCCATGTCCATGCATGTCCACGTATTCTTCCTCTTCTTAACCGTAGCCATCTTTTCCGGAACACCATCGATGTCGCAGTCGCAAACCGCAGCTTCCTGCAACGGAATATTCGTGTCGTACGTCTACACTGGCGGCGAGCGGCTGCCGCCGAACCTCTCCAACGTGACGGAGCAGCCGTACCGGTTCGAGTCGACACTGACAGTGCTGAACAACGGGTTGGAGGAGCTGAAGTCTTGGAAGGTGTTCGTGGGGTTTCAGCACAGCGAGTGGTTGGTGTCGGCGTCGAACGCGGTGCTCGCGGACGGCACGAGTCTTCCCAGTGCGGTTGGGAACGGCACCATATTTAGTGGGTCGACGGTGAGAGATCTGAAGACGGCGGTGGCGACCGCCGGGGACTTGAACCAGATGCAGATTCAGGTGGAGATGGTGGGGAGCTTGCTTGGGGTGGCACCACCCTCTGTGCCGATGCCTCGGTCGGTTACCTTGTCTAACGATGGATTCGTGTGTGGTCAACCCTCTGGTGAAGGTAGGTATATCCACCTTCTTCTCTGCTTCATTTCTATCCTATCTGCTAAACATGGACTCTTGTAGTTTGTAGTTTGTTTGAGGTTGAAACCCTGTAACAAGAACTCTTTCATCTGCAGATATTGTTTGATAATTTTTTTTTTCTCAGCTTGGTCAACTAATTTTTAATTCGAACAATTGTTTAATTTACTAGGTTCAGTAACACTATTCATTTTTAAAAAACATCCTATCAATAACCATGTTTAGCTTTGTTTATTATTATTATTATTTTATTTTTTAGTTATGAAAAAGGTGCATGGGTCTGTGTCCATGTACAAGGGGAAACGAGAAAATAGATTTACAAATAGGATGAAATTTGGATTTGATAATTAAAAATTGCATATATGATATTATTTATAGAGAAAATTAGATGAATGTCGTGAATAACTTTATTATTTTTTAAGTATTAATTATTATATAAATAAATAAATATAGTTGATTATAGAAGAGAAAAGAATTGGTTATGTAATAAAAAATAATTGATTTTTTCTTCTTCACCTAATAATTTTGTTTAAATTGTATAACGTATAATGTATAAATTAATCATGTTTTAACTATTTTTTTGTATTAAAAATAAAAGGTACATAAAAAAATTATTAAAATAAATTTTTTAAAGTATTATTTAATTAATATAATTATTTATAATAAGTATATTGATTATTATAATTATTTATTTATAATATTTTTAATTTAATAATATAAAATTCATATTAACAATTAAATTTTTATAATTATAATTATTAAAATTTTAAGTTTGAATTATGAATAAAATTATTTTTTAAAGTTGTTTTAATTAATTATGTTTTTAAAATTAAATAAAATTAGTTTTATTATTTATTTTTATTGATATTCCTAATTTACTTTCTATTCAAATAGTTGTCAAGTTGGAAAAGAATATGTGAAAAAGGAATAATTTTGTAGAAAATATTTTTAAAATATAGATAATTCAAAAATAAAAATTTAAAAGAAAAAATGATATTTTAATTTTAATTAAAAATCAATAAGATTTAAACAATTTTATTCATATAATTTGTGAAGAATTTAAATAAAAATTTAAAAGGAAATTATATTTTTAATTATAATTAAAATTTGATAAGATTCAAACAATTTTATTGATATAATTTGTGAAGAATTTAAATAAAAATTATACTTAAAAAATTAAGTAAAATATTATTCAAAATATATTTATTTAATTTTGAAATATAAAAAATAAAATAACATAATTACATATAATCATATTATAAAATTATAAATATATTTCAAATTTTTACCCATTAAAAATATTTTTTTAAAATATGTAAAATAATTCAAGCATGTCAAAATATTAAATAAGTATATATATATATATATTACAATAATAATATTGGAATATTATTTATAAAAAAAGTTATATATATATATATATATATATATATATATATACATTGTTTAATTTTAGAAAATCACAATGTAAGAGTAACTGATTTTTTTATTGTATTTAATTTTAATTTATATATAAATAAATTTCAATTTATTTTAATTTTATTAAATTATAAAATATATTTTAATCATTTATTAATTGATTTAATTATTTAATTATTTTTAATTAATCAAATTAATTTTATTTATTATCATATTTTTCTTTAATTTTCATCATTTTTTACTATCTTTTTTTCATCCAAACAATTTCATTTTTTACTGTTTTTCTCTTTTATTTTTTACTTTCTTAATTTCACTCATCAATCCAAATAAAGTTGGACGTAAACTGCTACTCAAACTAAATTTTAGTTCCAATTAAAAAATAGTAGGGAAATATTTAAAAGATTGCATATAATTTTATGTACTTTTATATCTAAACATAGTTAAAGCAAGTTGATTAAGTGGAAGAAGAGGGAAAAAAGTGTGATTGTGAGGTGTTGATATGTATAGTTTGGATGTTTGATGTCCAGGGAGCAATAATGAAACTCATGTCTGTTGCACAAGCGATCCTAATTTCAAAACAAACATGACCAGAGAGGAAGAGTTCCTACCCCGTCAGAAGGGTGACCTAAGCATCACATACGACATCATCAGAACCTACAATTCCAATTACTGGGCAGAGGTTACAATCGCAAACCACAACCCTTTAGGCCGTCTTGACAACTGGAGACTGAGTTGGGACTGGCAAAACGACGAGTTTATCTACACAACAAAGGGTGCATATCCATTAAAGGTGGATTCCTCTGACTGTGTTTTCGGTTCTCAAGGTGTTTTCTACAAGGAACTTGACTTTGCTAACGTGTTGAACTGTGAAAGAAGGCCAACCATAGTGGATCTTCCTCCCTCAATGTTCAATGATTCAGACCTTGGTCAAATCCCATTTTGCTGCAGGAATGGCACTATCTTGCCACCAACAATGGATCCTAGCATGTCAGCTTCAAGGTTTCAAATGCAAGTGTACAAAATGCCACCCAACCTTAACCGTTCCACACTCACACCACCTAATAACTGGGAGATAAAGGGTATCCTTAACCCTGACTACGAATGTGGCAACCCTATTAGGATTAGTCCCAGTGAATCCCCCGACCCTAGACACATTCCATCAAACAAATCATCAATTGCAAGTTGGCAAGTGGTGTGCAACATCACAAACACAAAACGTGAAACACGCAAGTGCTGTGTTTCCTTTTCAGCTTTTTACAATGAATCGGTTATTCCATGCAACACGTGTGCATGTGGATGTCCAAGTAACTCGGAGAGAACATGCAGTGCAACTTCACCAGCCATGTTGCTTCGACCAGAGGCACTTCTCGTCCCTTTTGATAATCGAACTAAGATGGCCGTTTCTTGGGCTGAGATAAACCATTTACCTGTGCCTAATCCAATGCCTTGCGGTGATAACTGTGGTGTGAGCATAAACTGGCACGTGGCTACGGATTACCGCAAAGGTTGGAGCGCGCGGGTGACACTTTTCAACTGGGGTGAGACTAGTTTTGCTGACTGGTTTGCTGCAGTGCACATGAACAAAGCGGCAAAGGGGTTTGAGGAAGTGTACTCGTTCAATGGAAGCGTTTTGGAGAGTGTGGAAAACACGATATTCATGCAAGGGAAGAAGGGGTTGAATTTTCTTGTCGCGGAAACGGATGGATCTAACCCTCGGAAAGATCCTAGGGTGCCGGGGAAACAGCAATCAGTGATCTCGTTTACGAAGAAGGAGACTCCTGGAATCAATGTGGTTGGCGGTGATGGGTTTCCAAGTAAAGTGTTCTTCAATGGGGAGGAATGCTCTCTTCCTTCGGTGTTACCAAGCAGTGGTACGAGAAAGGAGGTCTCATTGGCTGTCTTCTTGTTAGTGATGTTGCTGTCGATCATCTTCATGTGCCATTAGTGGCAATGTTTGATTGATTGTTGTTCTGAGACAGGGTTTATATAGTCACATCATCAAACAATCATTTGTTGTATATCCGTTTTGTATGATTCTTTACAGGGTATTATCTGTAGAATTATGCTAGATTACAGAGATATACTTTTTCTAATTTTTTGACAGTTCGTTATTTCTCTTTTTGTGCAGTTAACAATTTTGTGCAGTACAACTTGGTGGTGTAATGGCCAAAAAGCTTGATCCCTTGTATGAATTTGCTCATCTCAGTTTGGATTAGTGAGGACTCAACATTGGTTTTCGGATACCAAGAATTGAGATAAAAAAATATGAAGTAACCTACTCGTTAAATCCCTATAATTTCACTAAATTTTTAAATTAGTATCTTCCAGAAACTTTTCAATGAGTTAATCCTTTCTTGCTATATATATCCATATTGAAAGTCATCATATCACCCTTAATTTTAGGGACCACCACAGCCCACAGGTATGATTAGGCTAGAAGGTCAGGGTAGAATAAGAATTAAAACATAAACACCTTTTCTAAAATGGGATTCAGACGAGGTTCGTCACTTCTGTTAGAGTTAGCCTATTCTTCTAATCAGTTTTTCCTGATATGAATTATTAATAGTTTTGGCCATTAAATCCCCGAATGAGAACTTAATCAGTTTTTCATGGGCATGGTGTGCACATCATAATGAAAAAATATTAGCAGATCATCTACAGCAGAAACATAATTGAATAAGTACTATCCAAGTAAAGAAGCAACGCAAAAGAATGGGCAGATTAAATGTCTTGGGCAACCCAATGCAATATTTACATACAGAAGTCCTATGATCAATTTAAAAAACATAAATAGGAAAAAGGAACAGAGGAAAAAATGTTTCTTAAGGGTGTTATTAAAGTTAAAAATGCTCCTACAAGTCTGCAGGTGGATCAAAACCTTGCTTCTGCAGTTCTGCCCTAAATCAATGTCTTCATGTACACTTTAATAGAAGGTTGCTAGAACCTTTGCAATCAAAAGCAGCCAAAAACTTGCAAATATGCCTTTTGCATACATGCATTTAATGTTTGTTATTATTCATCTTGACAGATCACTTAAATGATCTTGATCATCCAGACTAAATCATAATAACATACTACTCCCTGAAGCCTGAATTTTTTACATCAACTAAATTCTATTGTTGAAAATTTAAAAAAATAAGGAACAAACTAACTAATTGCAGTATGACATGGTTCATACGGAATGCCAACTATTTTTACATTGGCGACTGCAATTAGAAAGAGATCTGGCAGGATCTGTTCTAAACCGGAATGTTATCTAAGGAATATCCATCAAAGTCTAACTCGTTATCAGACGGTCCAACTCCTTCTTGCTGCCAGAAACGTAGAAGAAAATTATTTGTTTATAAAGGAAAACTATGTGAAAGGATATTTAAACAGAAAAGGAAGGAAGGACCAACCTGTTTCAGAAATGCAGTGACAAGATCCTCATGACCATACTGATCAGAGAAAAGGTTATTAATCTGAGAGCTTGGATCAGGAAATCTTTCAGCCTTAACCCTTACGGAATTGTCAACAGGGTTATTGAGGTGTTGACCAACATTTTGGAGATTACCTTGTATGCCTTCCCCTGTGGAGAACATAGCTTTTCCAATTGAAGTAGTATCTCTAGTTCGTACAGACTGTTGCATAGAGGGAAAACCCTGATGGACTAAAACTGATGGTGAGACATCAATGTTGCCTTGTAAAGGATTTGCATGCTGAGAAGAATCATATGTTATGCCTGTGTTTGTTAAGTCCCAATCATGGGACTTTTGATGGTGGAGTTCATTAAACATATCATAACTTGGAACAAATCCACCAGGTCCTTTAATATCAGAGGTACCTTCTTCATGAAACATGCCTTTAGTTGGGATACTAGTTAGACTTGGAGTGCTTCTACGAGGAAAACTACTAACAGACATTTCATTGGTTTGGTTCATAGGAAAACTCAACAATGAAGAGTTTTGTGAAACTGTATTATAAGCAGTGGTTATGTTGCTGGTTCCAGTAATCCCATTTCCCAAAACACCATTAGAAATATCATTTGGTACTATAGGCTGCACCAAAGATGATGGAAACCTGGTTACATGAGAATCAGCATTTTCACTTCGCATCTGAGCTCTTGGTTGAGACTGCGCCATCTGCATCAACAAGGGGTTGTTCTGCGCAGCAGGAGCATTGACTCGCATGTTCAAGTTACCAAGGGTTTGGGTAGATTGGTGCAAATTGATAAGTTGTTTTGGCTCCATGTTGGTAGGAATTCCATGAAGCAAGTTTATTGGTTTACTGTTGCTTAAATGATGTAGTGACCTTTCTGCAAATCTTAATCGTGGGTTCTCAAAACTAAAAAGGTTCTGTTGATCAGATAGAGGCATAGACACACCAGCTTTAGCAGTTGTCCTGCCAAGTCCTGCGGCTTGAAGCTTGGCCAGACTTTGTGCCGGAAGCTGGCCAGCAACTGAAAGAGTTTGAAGATCAATTCCAGTGATTGAGGTTGCCCCAAATGTTGCATCTTGTGAGCTGATGAAGGAGTTGTTCAAGTTACCCTGCTGCTGTGAAACTCCACTCAGTCTTCGAAGATACAAACGGTATTTCTGTACCAAAAACACAGATGGAAAAAGAGATAAGTCCTTCAAATCAACTAATAACGTAAAAACCACAATAAAGGGAGAAGTATGGATAACATCAATTCATGAATTTCTCCTAAGTACATGTAATATGAAACATAGAAATATCAAACCTGGAGGTGGCTAGCAACATTTTCTCTAGTGAGCCCAGGAACATTCATCAATTCCAAAATCTTTTTAGGAACCGCCTCTGTATATGAATATCAAATTTAAAACGTAAGATGAGGAATTTATATTTCAATAAAACTCTAATGAACCAGGCAAGAAGATATACCAGAACTATTCATATATTTGATATTCAGGAATTTGTTGTGGGTGAAAATAAAACTAATTTAGAGATAAAAACAATTTCGTAAAGCTAAGGCCACTCTAGGTTCTTGAATGTGTGTGAATATTTGTCGAATGTGGTTAAATAATAATATATAGTCGGAAAACTGATTTGCCAATCTGATAACAGTCAGGAAAGGATAGAAGGGGTTATCCCAAAATATTGCAATCGAATATGGAAGATGCAAGTAGTAAAAGTGTGGATTTGATGCTTTCACGATTCTTATATGACAAGTAAACATTAGACATAAAGAATCCAAAGATCAAAAGTAGTGAGAGGCATAGACTGCTGTGTCAGATAAGACATCATGGAAAAGCAGCAGAACATTTTTTGCAAGGACGTAATTGAGGGACACATACTATCAATTCCAAGTTGATTCACAGCAGCCATAAACTGCTGATGAAGCTCAACAGACCAAACAACTCGCGGCTTCTTCAACGTGGAGGAATCATCCCTCTCATCTCCTTCCTCCTCCTCATCCCTCCTCTTCTTGGAGGTTTTGTTTTCATTCACTGAAGACGAGTAATCTCCATCATCACATCCCTTTAGAAGCCGATCTCCTTCTTCAACACTACCCGATTGCTCCACATCTTTCAACCCATTCTTTCTCTTCCGAATAACATGCTGCCATATGTTCTTCAAAGCCTCAATTCGCACAGGTTTAATCAGATAATCACACGCACCGTGCGTCACCCCTTTCATCACAACACTTTTTCCATCATCAGCTGACATCACTGTAGAAATCATTCACACACAGTTTGTTAGTGCATATCAATGCAGTGTCTCTCAATAGTCACAAACCAATCCAAACGATGCTTACTAATAACCGGAAGGTCCATCTCCAACCCAATATGCTCCAAAAGCTTAAATCCATCCATATCTGGCATATGCACATCGCTTAAAACAATATCAAACCCGTTTTTGTTCTCTCTCAGAAGTGACAATGCAACCTCAGCCCGCTTGCATTTCGTCACTGAAATGAAATAAGCCCACCAAGTAAACCGAATCAAACGACAAATCAAAATTCAAAAAATGAAAGTAAAAAAAGAAAAAGAAAAAAGAGACACACATATTCATCATGACTCGAACTTCACTCAAGAACCAATTCCAAAGGTTTGAAAAAACAATAAACAAACAAATCTATCATCACAAGGTGAAAACAAACACCATCAATCACTTCATGCCATGCTATTTGACCATACCAAAAAAGCATCAACTTGAAAAGATAGACAGCTGCAAGAATCCAAAATTACAGTAAATACTGTATCAAACAACATGTTTGGAGTAAAAACTCCATAACAAGACACAGTTGGAGGTGGTTGTGAAGTACAAAGTACTATCCATAACCACCTAAACATTGAAAAAAGGGTAAATTGCATTTCTTTTTCGTACCCAAGTCATCTTCTGAGAGAGAAAGAAAGTGATTAAGCACCTTCATAGAGACACGCACGCAGCATCCTCTCAAGGATCATAAGGCAAGTGGGGTCATCATCCACCACCAGCACGCGGAGACCCGCCGGAAACTGGTCGGAGACGGCGTCGCCGGTTTTCAGAGGAGAACTGGAAGTGGATCCCTTGCCGTTGCCGAGATTCATGGTTGAGAAGATCCAAAACAGTAGACAACAACAAACACAGACACAAACAGCTTCACATGGTTGTAACTGGCATCATGATGAGAGTAATAAACAAAACATAGATAAAATAAAAACGAGAGTAAGTTGTTTAAGGAGTTCAGACGAAGAAACAGAGAAAAGGGTAATGGAATTTCTTTTGGCTGCAGATAATATTGCATATAAATAATGGAAATGATTGAAGGTCTGATTCTGAAAGAATTTTTTTTTTTTTTCCTCTGTTTCAAAAACTGATGCTCAGTTTCTGGCATATTTTATTACTTTCCATAAAATAATGTTATTTAAAAATAATAATACCAACAATATTAAAATGTTGATGGTGTGTAATTATTTTGACATTTTGTAATGTTAATATTATAATATTTGAAGGTTGGAGTGTTCACTCCTGAAAGAGTGGATCCAGCTCATTGGTTGGATTGGATTAACTAACCCTCCACCTCGGATCTCAAAACCACTTCCAACGCTGTCACAAAGTCACCAACACTTCTAAAGTATATAACTCTGCTTGCTATCTGTTACGTGCCAATGCCACCCCACACAACTCAACGCTAAGAACATGTTCAATGTCCTCACTTTTTCTTCCCTCTGTTTTAAAGGTAAATTAATTAATATTTAAAAGGAGGCCAAACATGCCCTTAATTATGGTTATGGGTGGAATTTAAAAGGTATAAATTAAGTAATTGGTGAATATTCAAATGAATTATTCTATTATTAATAAAAAAGATATTTTTAGTTAATGCATCGGGTTATATCATATAAAGAATATTTAAAGCGTTTCCTAAAATATTTTAGCTTTTTAAAGCAGAATAAAATTTAATTGTTTTTTATATTGTCACCTTATATTATTGTCTTGTTTATGAACTATTTTCTATTAAACAGGTCATTAGCTTACTTGTAAATGGTTTTTAAAAGTATATAGCTTGTTGTCATCCAAGTTACAAACCGTAACTTCAATAACATGTTCAATGTCCCTCACTTTCTTCTTTCCAAGTTTTTCCCTAAAATTAAATTGATTTCTCTATTATTCTTTGTAATGTGTATCTTATAATATTATTTCTTTTAGACTCGGGACAATAATGGAGGAGTAGGTCATGCGTTGCCAAAGAAGTTTTATTCCTAATCAATATATTAGGGTTATAATATGCAGACAACCTGTTTGGAGAAACGGTTAGATGGTTTTCATTGTGTTCTGGAGAGGTTATGTTGTGTTCTTCCATTCTGTTAATAAGATTCAACCTTGATATTAATTAGAACACCCAAACAAGATGAAGCATCTTCAGGGCTCAAGATGATTTTTAAAATGCAATTTTTTAAACAGAACATGTTTATTAGTGATGGTAAACCACGGTGAATTGAAAGTGGAGCACATGTCCCTGCTGAGAATAAACCTAGTTCCTCAACTTGGCAAGTTGATAGTACAAACATTGTGGAGTTGTTGCTTAGAATCTCTCTTGATCTTGTGCCACGGCACCTCCATGTGTGCTGGACTACACCAAATTTTATTCGTCCCAAAATATTCACATCTCATGCAATTCACAAAGTACACATAAATCTCCATGCTCATTTGTTTTTTCCCAGGTGAGACTATATACATACCTGTGTTTGTTAGTTAGATATGTGCCCACAAAGAAGAAAAGAAGGTTTTCATTCAGAAGAAAGTAATTCATGATGGGATAATGACTAAATCCCATTTTATGCAAATGTAGGACAAAAACTTTCATGGAGATACCACCGACAAACTTACTTTGTCTCCTTAGCCTCAAATTCGGAGTAATATAAGTCAATTGTTTGCAGAAGTGGCTAAAACAGTCAAACCCAATTATAGAAATTGTCCAGTTAACCAAATTTTATGGAACGCTTTTGGTTTGACTTTTTTAGAAAACTGAATCATATTTAAACATTAAATGGATAATATAATTAAATTAGTTTATAAAAATAGTTTGATTAATTAAACTATTTTTATAAAATGAATGAATTCAGTTTAATTAGTTTTAAAAAATAATTATTGCGCATGAGCATATACTAAAATGAAGTTGTACTCTTTGTTCTCTGAGTGTTCCACCTGTTTGGAACAATAATTATCCTTTTTTTTTTTAGGTGTACACTATCCTTTGTTTTCTTCTGACTTTCACTAAGACTAATAATAGCATAAATAATATGATTGCTGAAAGTCAAAAAAATCCATTAAGGTACAAATAAAGGCAAGTGAGTCAAGATAATTGAATGGAATGGTGTGATGTAAGGAAACTGTAAATGGCTCATAAGATGAACATTATTGGTAACCAATTTTGTTTAATAAAAAACGAAGCACAACAATATTACTTATTCAGTGTGGTTCTTTGTAACTTCTGGTTTGATGAAGGAAACCTAAGAAAATGAATTCACTAATAAAAGTTACAGATTTGGTGAAGAGAAAAATACTTATAATATTATAGCTGCCCTATTTTGGCCTATTGATCTTTTATGTAAGTTTCAACCATTTTTCTTCTTAGCTTGGCCTGGTTTACTGGTATCAGCTTTCTTATCCTGTATAAACTGACTTCATTACTTTTTTAATTATATAAATAAATTATATATTCTTAATTTAGTTACTAGTTAACATTACTAGTTAACATTAAATAATATAGATCGGGCGGGTTTTGCCTCCCCAATTCCGATTTTTTTAACGGTTTCGTTTCCGATCCTCACGGTATTAGAAATTAAATCTCCGTCTCTATTGAGTTTCGGGTTGCCCGTCCCGCCTCGCCCTACCCTATCTCGCCACCAATCTATATTATTTTTTAAAAAATAATTATATTTATAATAAATTAATTTTACTATGTATTTTATATATATAAATAAATATTTATAAAAGAAATATTTATATTAAAATATATATGTAAAAGAAATATTTAATCATTTATATATATATATATAAAATATTTATATTATTATTATTATTATTGTTATAATACTATATTCAAACATTTGATTACATATAAGTTAATTCATTTTTAAGTTGTTATTTTAAAATATGAAATATATAATTTATAAGGAAATATTTAATAAGTTAATTCTTATTTAATTAATTTGAAGTAATAAAAGTTTAAATTATCAATTCTTTTTAATTCTTTAAAATACAATTATTTTATTAAGATAAAATTTGATATATAAGAAATAAGAATAATAAGATTCAAAAAATATGGCATAATAAAATCTAATAAATATAAATTATAAATAAAATAATATTAGTTACTACTAAGATTTATGCAAAATATTTAAAAAAGATAAAAGATGAAAAAAAATGATTAGAGAGATTAAGAAAATGTGAAAAACTAAAATACAATAGAAAAATAATAATGTAATAAAGTAATTAATATAAAAGATAAAAAAATTAAAAAGTGGTTAGAAAAAAAAAGTAAAAATAGTAAAAAATAAAAAAAATGACCTTATATGTAATAGAAAAAGAAAAGAAAATATTATTAAAATATGAATATTTTAAAATTTAAATTTAAATAAAAAGTTAGGGGCGAAGACGAGAACAAGGTCGGGGTGGGGATTGCATTACACATCCCGCCCGCCCCTGGTCAACTCGATTTTTCTCGTCAAACTCGGGACGGGTTAGTCCCCACAGTGCAGGTTTAATTTTCATCTCTAATTATACTACTTAAATTAATTAAAATAACTTTATTTACTTAATTATCTTGTTATATATTATCTTATTTAGTTTATTAGTTATTAACTTTTTTACTATTATTATCTTATAAGTTCTATGTAAGAAGATCCAATTACATAGTAAATTTTACCTTATCATTCATTCTTAAATACATTACTCTCTTGTTTAAGAGTTTTATATAAGAATCTTGGACAATGTCGTGGATCTCAGGGATGGGGCCGAGGAGGATTTTATGGATGAGGTCGTGGTCACGATGCTCTTCCGTTACCAGCACTCCATCAAAATCAACAAAATTGTGGTGAACGTCAAGAAGTTGAGGATGAAAGAACGAATAGTCCAATACTATTGTAGGGGGTTTCGCAGGAGGAGCATCATCAAATTCGGCCCAAAGACGACATCTCAGGGTTATCCACAACGTTGACACCTCACATAGAAGGACACAACCACCTATAATCTTTTTCGATGAGGACTTCAAATCTCATAAGTCAAATATAGATGACCCAGTTGTAGTCACGGTACAAATGACCAATTGGGAGGTAAAGAAATCATTAATAGACCAAGGGAGTTCGGCGAATGTCTTATATTGGTTGACTTTCCTCAGACTTGGTCTTCCTTTTCCAGTAATTCAACTCTATCTCGAACCACTACTCGACTTTGCCAGAGAACGCTTCATACTAACACTACTAGAAATTTTTAACTTTTATGGGATTTTTTTACCAAATTTTTGTAAATTTTGCAAAAAACAAGTTTTTTGTGAATTTTCATACCAATTTTTATTAGCACGTAATTAGCTCGTGGAAAATAAATTATCCAGGGATTTAATATTCACAAAAAATTCCTACAAATTTTTTGTGAAAAAATTCGTAAGTAATTTTTTGAAAATTTAAATTTGCATGTAATTTCTTGCTATTTAAATTTGTATGTAATTTCTTACCAATTTAAGTTTGCATGTAAATTTTTACCAATTTCAAATTCGCAAGTAAATTTAAATTTACAAATATTTTTGGGTAATTTTATATTCGTAGGAAATTTCTTATTAATTTTAAATTTGCACGTAATTTCTTATGAGATTATCTTTTAAGAAAATTTACAAGAAATTTTATATAAATTTGAAATTATATATATATATATATATATATATAAATTAACAAAAAAATATTTATTATATATTTTATTTTATTACATAATTAACTATTATAAAAAAATTGTTTATTTATTTGACTAAAAACTAAGCTAAAAACAAAATTAACATGAATTTTTTTTAAAAAAATTATTTAGTCTTACATCAACATGATCCCTATGAATTTTA